TCTCTCTCTCTCTCTCTCTATATATATATATATATATATATATATCTCTATATATATTTACATTGTTTTTTATTCATTATATGAGCATTATGCAGTGTACTCATTTTAATTATAAAAGTTGTGTTTTTTATTGTCATGCTTAAGATTCTCCATGTGGGTTTACAACTCTTTCCCTCTGTTTTATGTGGTGAATGTACAACTTTTTGAAAAATATTAGCAACTCATTGTAACATAGCCCATTATGAACACTATTAATTGTGAAATTCACATGAGTCACATTAAATGAGTGGGTCCCTTTATATTTAGATGGGTGTAATTTACAGATTAGTGAAATCACATAGATTTCAATGTATGGAAGAACCATTAGACAGAGATTGTCTTAAAAAAAGAAAGTGTTGTTTTTCAGCAGTTTTGCTTCTCTTGTGGCTACTCTAATCATCATTTTTAGCTCAACTGTTTATTAAGGCTTAGCCTTGTTACCTGTAATTACATGAAAATGACAAAGCTGAAATAGAAAGTTTGGGAAATATATTTTTTCTTTGTGCAGAATCTACGCTCTGTCCTTCCTGTCTTTTAGTGGGATTTTGGGAATAATGTCATTGCGTCCCAACTCATCACACAGTTCTTTTGTAGTTGCACTTAACAACATTCTTGTTAAAATAGTAGTGGCATAGACTTATATACCCTTAGTGAGGAATGGTGGTGGTATTACGTGAATAGAACTCAGTATTTGTTTCAACTTATTTGAAACAGTAATTATTTTCAGCATGTTTGATTTTCAGACCCCTTCTGTTTCTTTTTAATTTTTTAGAACAAAAGGGTTATTCAAACAGACCCTCTTATTTGCTTTAACTTTTTACTTTTGAAAAATGCGTAAAAATTTCTCTACACTTAAGCTAAATAAAACATGCTAGAAATAACATTTAGGCCTGGTTTCCATAAGACTTGATAATCAAAGTAGATCATGGATTATCCTAGCCTCTGCATTTAATCTGTAAAATCTAAATTAACTCATCTTTAACTTTAAATTTGATAAGTAAAGTGATCTGTTTACACATTAACAAGATGAATAATTAGACAATCTATCCCTACATTATTGTTTTGTTCTTAAAGTTTCTGCCTCATGGTCTCGTAGTATTTTGGCTGTAAGATAAACTGTGGAAGGATTTAATTCTTCACTGTTTTTTTCTAGCTGTCTCACTTGTGGAGCTGAAAATTATAGCTAAATGTAATAGCTGGCTGTCTTCACAAGTAGACAGGTAAATTGACCTGGATTCTAAAATTATTGAATAATTCTCCTTCTTTTCATGAACCATAATATTCTTAGAAGATGTTCACGTTCATGGATTGTAATATTTTTATATTGGACTATGATATGTGAATAATTATTTTTAACAACTTTTTGACAATAGATTTTGTGTCACTATTTTATTGATCTGTATATTTGAAACAGATCAATCACAAGTTACCACATAGACTATTGTATAAATGTTGTCAAGAAAAGTTGTTAAAAAAACATTTTCCTTTTATATTTGTGACACACATTATACCTCTGGCCAGCTGATTGTGTCACAGATTACTAGAACAAAAACTAGCCTAAAAGTGGTTGTGTGGGATTTCCTTTGTATTACTTTTTGGTATAAAGCCATTTCCCAGAAAAGTTATGCTCTGTGGTTGGAATATTTAGTAAACAAATGAAATCTACTGCCAATTCACATTGAAAACCAAGAGTTATGGATCCGTTGTTGTTGAATATAATGAAAACTATGTATGAAATTAATTTTATTTATAATAAAAGAAATATGGACTAAACCCAAAATACAAATAAGAAATAATAACAAACTAACTAAAGATAAAAGATAAATATAAGATAAAAATAATATACATAACACTATCCCTCAACATGGTGCATATACAAATTGTATGTACCAAGGTTGTTAATAATATAATAAAAATGACTCAGTGAAAATATCTTCTTCTACACTCGAGTGACACCAAATTGTTAATGATTTGCTAAGACAATATAGAAGATGAAATACAAACCCAGAAGACCTTTCCTGAACGACAAATCTGGGAGGTTGCTTTATATAAATCTCTTGCAAATTGTCGTTGAGTTGACATTTAGTGGATAAAGAGTTCATTGTTGAAGAGCTACTACGACTATATATAAATTAATAAAAGCCATTTTTGCCACGGGAGAAAAAGTATATATGGACGAGTTAAACACAATGGTCTTAAAAGAGACATCAGCGGAAGAAGCCATTGATGAATAGGAGAGAGAAACTTTAAAAATCTAAGATTCTCCAATCAAGGCACCTGAAAGAGGAAAACGAGTGACCTCCATGCTCTGAATAGCTTCTTGAGAGGAGACGAGACATACAACCACGCACGACGAATATGAAAGATGAAGTAGAGCGACCTCGACGTTTGCCTAAAAGGGACGAGACATGCCACCACACATGGCGGAAAAGGGAGTAGATCCATAATTTCAAAAGGTGCTGAGAGTGCGTAAGAACTTTGATGAAGGTGTCGTGGACGACACAATGGTTGTCTGGCCGAGACGATCAAAATTGTGTGATCGTCGATCGAAACTAGAACTCCAGTAATGATGATGGGAAAAAGGGCCAAAGACAATAACAACTCAATAAAGAGTAATAACGCACCGGAAAAAACAAATCTCCTTTCTTGTAAGAATCTGCGAGGAACACAAAAAAAACAAATAGAGCAAAAACAGAATCCAAAACACAATGAAACAACTATTTTAACGTGGAAAACTCCTCAATGCAAGGTAAAAACCACGAGTTGTTCAGACTAAAGAAAAATTCACTATGATCAATAATATGGTACAAAAGGGTTTAAAAAAAACACCAAATGATGTTTTCAATCAGCCAAACTAACTAAGCATGAATGTTTACAAATGAGAACAAAAGATGAAAATTCTCCAAAATAGAGCTGCTGATGCGAGGTTGTTTTCTTCCAAACTAGACCTCCGATTGACGTTCCAACGGTCAAAATGAAGAACCATATATCTGAAACCGACTGTCCAAAAATCAACCCGATCCAACGTTGAACAACTGCACAACAATAAAAACACCAGTGCAAACTTTGTGTTATGGGAGAAACTTTCTCTCTTCCTTTCTCTCTCACTTGACTTTTCTCTCTCTCCAAATGACTCTTGTGTGCCCTACTAATCTGACCCCTCTTCACTAAAGCAAAGTGAGACATAATGATCCACATTATTTGGGCCTATTTCCACGTAGGAAGGAAGCCCAATAACCCAACAAGTGGCAGAAGTAAGCGACGACGTCGTCGATGGCAGTAAACAGCGTTGTCGCCGACAGCGGCGAGTGTAATGGTAGAGGCAACAAAATTTTTTTCTCAAAAGAACCTGGTTCTATATGAATATAGTGAAAAACTATATGCAGAATTAATCTCCCTTATCTTGGATATTTACATAGGGTATTGTATTTTTAATAGAAGAAATATAGACTAAGCTCAAAATACAAATAAGAAATAATAAAAAAACTAACTTAAAATAAAAGATAAAGATAAGATAATGATGATATATCTAACTGTTGCCAAAACTAATCTTAAATGGATGGACTTAGTGTTTTGAAACCCCCCGAAAGCAACTTTTCTTGTTGCACCAAGCGACGTTCAGGCCAATGAGGGGGAGCAAAAATAAGATTAAACCATCAATTCTCTCCTAAAAGGTCCATGAAATGAAATTATGGAATAGCAGTCTCTAAAGTCAGGCTACACAGTCCCTTCAGTAGTGAAAAGTTCTCCAAATTAGTCCTTCAATGATAGTAAAATATGAGAGAGAGTGATACTTTTGGAACCAAATGATGTACTCAAAAAAAGGCTTCCGATATGAGATAATTAATACCTTAGCAATCCAAGGGGATAGAATTAGGGGCTAGTAGTATAATAGTACTAGTAATTACCAAAATTGGTCATATCAATAGGTAGTAGATCTGTTTTGTTTTTGACATTTCTTTGAATTTGTTTCAATGTAAATGTGTTCTTTAAAGTAAATTTCTTTCACGGTTAGTCTTTGCTAACAAGGCTATTACTTGAATTTTTCATTTTAAATAATTTTCACTTTCTCCTGTATTATATGACCAACTGGTAATGTAAGAGCTACCTGCTTTAAATCATGGAAGATTGGGAAAAGAAATCCTTTTACACATTTAGATTTGCTGTAACATGGACAAGTGCAATTTTCTTTTTGTGTTTCTTTAGGGTGGTGCTGCATTTGCATTGCATTACTTATAATAAATCCAATTCAGTGTTTTATTTCATCATTATTATGTGGTAACTTTGGCTAACTCTTCTGAAAATGAAAGACCTATTATCTGTTTGTCAAAAGGGCTTCATGTGTTGTTGTTCTCTGCAGATGCTTTTATCGGTGTGAACATTGGTACAGCTGTGACTAACATGCCAAGTCCAACAGAAGTTGTGGCCCTTCTCAAGACTCAAGGTATCCAACATGTTAGACTATATGATGCTGACAGAGCCATGCTTCGTGCACTAGCCAACACAGGAATCCGTGTAATTGTTTCTGTTCCCAATGACCAGCTTCTCGGCATTGGTCAGTCCAATGCCACTGCTGCCAAATGGGTTGAACGCAATGTCATAGATCATGTTCCTTCTACCAACATTACTGCCATAGCAGTTGGTTCTGAAGTGCTGACATCCCTCCCAAATGCAGCTCCTGTTCTAGTTTCAGCATTAAAATTCCTTCAAGCTGCTCTAGTTGCAGCCAATCTTGATCAACAAATCAAAGTCTCTACTCCACACTCTTCTTTTATCATCCTTGATTCTTTCCCACCCTCTCAGGCATTTTTTAATAAAACTTGGGATCCTGTCATGGTTCCCTTGCTCAACTTTTTGCAATCAACAGGTTCCTATCTTATGCTCAATGTGTACCCTTATTATGATTTCATGCAACCCAATGCTGTAATCCCTCTAGACTATGCTTTGTTCCGGCCCTTGCCTCCTAATAAAGAAGCTATAGATTCCAACACCATGCTGCATTATACTAATGTCTTTGATGCTGTTGTTGATGCTGCTTATTTTGCAATGTCATATTTGAACTTTACCAACATTCCTATTTTAGTCACCGAGTCAGGTTGGCCCTCCAAAGGAGATTCATCCGAGCCAGATGCAACTATTGATAATGCTAACACTTACAATAGTAACTTGATCAGGCACGTCCTTAACAATAGTGGGACTCCTAAGAAACCTGGAATTTCAGTTAGCACTTATATTTATGAGCTTTATAATGAAGACTTGAGAACAGGTCCAGTGTCTGAGAATAATTGGGGTCTGTTTTATGCCAATGGAGCTCCAGTGTATACCTTGCACTTGACTAATGCTGGTACTGTATTTGCAAATGATACAACAAACCAAACCTTCTGTGTTGCCAAGAGTAATGCAGATACTAAGATGCTTCAGGCTGCACTTGATTGGGCTTGTGGACCAGGGAAGGTGGATTGTTCTCCATTGCTTCACGGTCAACCCTGTTATGATCCAAATAGTGTGGCTGCACATGCTACATATGCTATCAATGCTTATTATCAGCAGATGGCTAAATCTGCTGGGACCTGTGATTTCAAAGGAGTTGCCTCTGTAACCACTACAAATCCAAGTAAGGAGTCTTTACATATAACTTTTTATGAGTCACATCTACATTGTGGGATAGAAAAGTATCAATGCAGCTATTGAAAATACATCAAAAGTGTGGACATAGAATCTATTTGAATACAAAGTTAGAAGTACTTGTTCTCGCTTCTCTAGTGGAAAAGCTCCTTGAGGTAGAGAGGAAGGTATGCACTAAACAGAATGAATGAAGTGACTGTATTATTTTATAACAGAAGAAAACAGTGTTTATATACATGAGATACTGTGACTGATAAAACAGTAACAGTATAACAGGAAACCGAACAAAACAGTAAGTTTGAATTACAACAAACTTCAATATTCTTCCTTAATTCAAACTAAGAGAAATCACACCAACTCCTCTTTTCAGAAATTCGAACCTGTCACCAGCCAGTGCTTTGGTTAACAGATCAGCCCATTGTTTAATGTGAAATTTCAATTTTCCCCTTACTTACCATGTCTATGAGGAAGTGAAATTTCACTTCTATATGTTTACTCCTCCCATGATTCACCAGATTTCTGGCTAGATTGATAGCAGAAGTATTGTCCATTTCCAGCTTTACTGGACTCTCCATTTCAATTTTCATCTCATCAAGCAACTCCTTGAGCCAAACTCCTTGGCAAGCAGCATAACACCCAGTGATATACTCTGCTTCGCAACTCGACAGTGCAACTGATTGTTTCTTAGATGACCACGAGATTGGTGCTCCATTAATGAAATAGATAAAACCGGAGGTGCTTTTCCTCTCCACAGTATCACCTCCTTAGTCTGAATCACAAAACCCTGTGAGTTTTAACTCATTCTCCTGACTCCCATAAGGAAACAATATGGCATCAGTTGACGTGGCTTTGATGTATCTCAGGATGCGTTTAGCAGCGTTCATATGACTCTTCTTGGGTTTGCACATAAATCTACTGATCAGACCTACACAAAATGTCAAGTCCGGTCTGCTGTTACACAGATATCGCAAGGATCCTACTATCTGCTTGAATCTCGTTTCATTTACCTCCTCTTCAGCTTCATCCTTTCTCAACTGTTCATTCACTTCTAAAGGGCTTCGGGCAGCGTTGGATTGATGCATCTTAAACCTTTCCAGCAGCTCCTTTACATATTTCTGCTGATGCATAACAAGCCCTCTTGCTGAACGAGTAAACTCCATTCCCAGTAAATAGTTAAGTTCTCCTAAGTCCGTCATCTCAAAGTCGTTCTTCATTATCTCCTTGAATTTGTCTATATCCTCCATCTTCGATCCTGTCACCAAAAGATCGTCGACATACAGACAAACAATCAACAGGTTACCTTCTGAATTCCTTTTCACGTAGACTCCATGTTCCACTATGCATTTCTCAAACCCGTGAAGAGTCAAAGATGAATAATGCCTTTTGTAATTTGTATACCTTCTCCTCCTTATCCTTCTCTCTGAACCAAGAAGGTTGTTGAACATAAACCTCTTCTTCTAACGTCCCGTGCAGAAACGTGGATTTAACATCCAACTGGAAAATCAGCCATCTGTTTGCACATGCAATCGCCTCAACCAGGCGTATGGTTTCTAGTCTCCCTACAGGTGCAAACACCTTATCAAAATCGACTCCTTTCCTCTGCAGGAATCCCCTGGCCACAAGTCGCGCTTTGTATTTGGAAACGGTGCCATCTGGGTTTAACTTCTTCTTGAACACCCACTTAACACTAATGCTTCGTTTCCCAGGTGGAAGATCTACCAGCCTCCACGTGTTGTTTTTCACTTGAGTGGAGTTCCTCTATCATGGCATTTTTCCACACCGATTGTTTCAATGCATCATCCACATCTACTGGTTCTGCTCCAGCCATGAGCGCTATGTGAATCAAACTCCCTTCTTCATCAATCGCTGCATCAGAATAAGTTTCAAAATCAGAGAATCTGGATGGCTTTATTATTTGTCTTCTTGGTCTTTGAGATGCATCCCTCAAATCAATATTATTGTCAGAAACAACCTCAGCCCTTTCTTGCTTCTGATCATCAGTTACTTCATGCATTAGCGTCTTCTCTGGGCTTGCATGCATATGATTCCAATCCCAGTATTCCTTCTCCAAAACAATCGCATCTCTGCTGATGATCATCTTCTGTTTCATCGGATCATATAACTTGTATGCCTCAGTAGCATGATACCCTACTAACACCATGGGCTCGCCCTTGTCTTCCAACTTGGTCTGCTTTTGATCTGGGATATTAACAAACTCCATTGAACCAAAAACTTTCAAATGCTTCACGGATGTCTTTGTTCCTTTCCAAACTTCAAGTGGCACTCTTCCTTCAACGCGCTTAGTTGGACACCTGTTAAGTAGATAAACAGTTGTCGACACAGCCTCAGCCCACAGGTTCCGTGGCAAGTTCTTCTCTTTGAGGAGACATCTGGCCATGTTCATAATGGTTTGGTTTCTCCTTTCAACCAAAGCATTATGCTTGGGCGTATACGGTGCAGTAACCTCATGTGTTACGCCTTTGCTCTTACAGATCTCTTCAAACGCATGTGAGGTAAACTCCCCTCCACCATCAGTTCTTAAGACCTTCAGAGTCTTGCCACTCTCTCTTTCTACACAAGTCACATATCTCTTGAAAACCTCCAGCGCTTCACCTTTTGTCTTGATAGTATACACCCAACTCATTCTGCTAAACTCATCCACGAAAACAATGAAATATTTGCTTCTTGCCAATGATGGAACTTCAAGTGGGCCACAGATATCTGAGTGTACTACTTCTAGACACTCTCTTGAACGCATCTTTATCTTGACTTGAAAGATTTCCTTGATTGCTTGCCTGCCAAACAAGACTTGCATGCATCAACTGGTAAAGAAATGCGGGGTATACTTGAAACCATATCCTTTTCTTCAAGTTTCTGCATGTCTCTAAAATTTAAATGACCGAGACGCTGATGCCACAGCCAACTCTCTTCAATCTTCACAGTAGACAAACATTGCAAGTTTTCTACTGCATCTAACCTTACTTGAAACGTCCTATTCTTCGAAATTTTGCTCGTCAAGATCAGCCTTCTATTACTGTCAAACAACTCAACTTGATCATGATTTCCCATGATCACCGTGTATCCCTTTTCAACCAGTTGTCCAATGCTGAGAAGATTGCATTTCATACCAGGCACGAACAACACGCTGGAGATTAAAGCTTGCAAACCGTTCTTCCTGTTGATTATCACATCACTCATTCCTTCAACCATTAGTGTGTTGTCGTCTGCAAATCTGACTTTGCTCTTCTTTGTATTATCAAAATTAACTAGCCACTCTCTATTGCACGTCATGTGATTCGAGCAACCTGAGTCAAGATACCAACCTTTATCCAATGACTTCATACCTTCAGTAGTTGTCATTACCATCAGGATTAGTGGCTCTGAATCTGATTCTTCCTGTGCAAGATGAGCCTCTTTGCTTTGAAACTTATTCTTTTTCTTCCCTTTGCCTGAGAAGCATTCATATGCAAAGTGCCCGAATTTATGGCAGTTAAAACACTCAATGTTTCTTCTATCCTTCTTCTTCGAGCTCTTCTCAGGATTCTTCTTTTCTGCAGAATCAGATCTTTCATCTGGTTCTTCTGCACTGCTGCTTTCTTCTGCACTGCTACTTTCTTTCTTCCATTATCCTTTTCCTGATTTCCCTTTCCATTTCTTGAAATTATTTTTCTCATTACTCTTAGAATGTTGAACTTTCAGCGCCTGCTCGTTGAGTTTAATAGGATTTCTTTCACTCATTCTCATCTCATGCGCCTCTAATGAGCTTTGGAGTTCTTCTACCTTGAGTTTTTCCAGGTCTCTTGACTCTTCGATTGCTACCACAATGTGATCAAACTTCTGTGGTAGTGATCTCATGATTTTCTCAATCAACATAAGGTCTGTAATCGTTTCTCCACAACCTTTCATTTGATTAACGATTGACAATATTCTATTGAAAAACGCACTCACTTTATCTCCATCATCCATCAACAAGTGCTCGTACTGCCTTCTTAACGATTGAAGCTTCACCTTTTTAACCTTTTCTCCTCCGGTATAGCATCTCACCAGTATACCCCAAGCCTCTCTTGCTGTGGCTGCATTCTGAATCTTTTCAAAATGCACGTCGTCCACGCATTGATGGATGATAAACAGAGCTTTTATCATCTTTCATCCTAAGCTCCTCCTTCTGTTCCTTTGTGCCACCAAGATCAGGTTCACATCCTTCCACAATCGCACTGACACCTTGATAGCGAAACAATACCTTCATCTGTGCACTCCACCTGTTCCAATTTTTATCTGTGAGAACTGGGAAGCTTGCGGCAGGAATATCAGCCATGACGCCTTCTCTTTTCTTGTCCAAGAACTGTCTTCTTGACCACCTTCAACCGTCTTAACCACACCCTTCAGCCACCGCAGTGACACCGTGAAGAAAGATTGAAAATGCACACCCCCAGGTTTCTGCAACCTGGCCCTGGATACCACTAATAGAACAGAGAATAGAAGGTAGAGAGGAAGGTATGCACTAAACAGAATGAATGAAGTGACTGTATTATTTTATAACAGAAGAAAACAGTGTTTATATACATGAGATACTGTGACTGATAAAACAGTAACAGTATGGAAACCGAACAAAATAGTAAGTTTGAATTACAACAAACTTCAATAGTTTCCAGTAGAAAAACTCCCGAAAGCTATCAGAGTTTCTTCAAGAGTGAGAGAGAAGGAAAACAAAGATCAGAAAAATAGAGAAAGATACAAAAAAGGAAAATTTTCATTAAAGGAAAAAGAGGGAATACGTGGATATCTAAACCCCAAAAAGAACTAAAAAAACTATCATATACTAAACAACCTAAACTAACTTAATAAAAGAACTTATAGATTATATCCAAAACAGGCTTGTGATGGAAATACATGTTTACAGTTGGTACCCTTCCGCATATAACACAACATAACTAGATGTCATGATGGAGATACAAGCAGTTTGGATTTTTATGAAAAACTTATGTTATGATTAGTACCAAGTATTTGGGAAACCCACCCTCAAAATCTAATATTAAGAGGGGAGAACCAAACACTTAAATACTCTACCAAACATCTCATTCTACTTGATTTGAGACCTACACACCACATAATATCCAAGTTTCTGTAGAGTTATTTGGGGGAGAGTATTTTAAGAAAATGTATAAAATTGTGAAATTCAAATATCATAAGATTGTCTCAAAACCATCTTTGAAATTATAGATGACAAAATATGGCCGTTTTCTCTGCCTTTTTATTCTCTTGAGAACATATTAGGTGTGCTTGGCTACCAATAGTGATTAGCTTTAAGAATTCTAATATTTGTTTCCTTAATTCTAGTTACTTAAACACACGTGATTGCATTCTTTTACCTCATTTGGCTCAAGATTAAGTCTCTTAAAATTGTCAATTAATTTTTACCATTTTAATTATTGTTGCTATTTTTGCAGCTTTTCCCTTTGTTGACCATTTCCGTTTGACTCATCTGTTCTGCTAAACAAAAGAAAAAAACCCTGCATGCATAAATGTTGTTCATCATTTGAACATACCTGATCTATTTTATTTTCATTGTTACAGGTCACGGTTCCTGCATATTTCCTGGAAGGTATAAATTCAAGCTTAGATATAGTTCTATTTCTTGCCTTCTCTTTTGCCTGACACATTAATAGTCTCTTTTCCTTTAGTTTTCAGTTCTCATTTCTTCACAAAAAAAGCTGAAAGTTTAATGTTTCATATTTTATGACTTTTTTGTGTCTCTATATTTTAATAGTCATGGAAAAAATGGTAGCAGCATAAATGGGACATCATTGGCTCCATCTACCAATTCCACAAATTCAGGGTGCTTGTCACAGAATTACAATGGTGGATCTTTAACAAGCTCTCTGATTCTTACTTTAATTTTGAGTGTAGCTGTCTTATAAAACTAGGCACATTACCTGTTCAGCATTTGAGTCTTGCATACCCAATTTTGTTTTCCTCATGTAGAGTATTTAAAGGGTGGCGAGGTTGGTCAAAATGTACATTTCCAATTGTAACGTGAGTTTATTATTCAATTTTTGTACAAACAAACCAGAAGAATTTATTTAAACCGTTGATGTAATGACCTGGTTAGCACTAATCTTTTTATAATGAATATTTTAAAACTTGGATCGATTATTAACTCAACAAAGACACTGGGTCAATAAGTTAATAGTTGAAGTATAAGGATTGGTATAATGGTAAAATAGATAGTTATACACATTATATATATTAAATTTATTATTTATATATCATTCTTCACTCACTTTGTTGCCTCTACTTCCATGGTGTTTCTTCGCTAAGAAAATATGAAAAGCATTATGAATCTTGGTGTTTTGGTTAATTCTAACCTATAAGCAACATCTCTAATTTGTCCAAAATTTGAAATGACCCATAATATCTATTAGCCAATTTGTTTGTACGGTTGGATGGTTAATGTAACATTATTAATTAAATGTTGTCTGCATTGTTGAATCTTTAAGAACAACCCATCCTCAAATGCAAACTCCTTTTTGGTTTTTGTTGTTAGTATAATTGTAACAGTGCTATAGTACAAAAGAATTGTAAGGTGCTTTTGTATTAATAAGAAGAGAATAAGATCTCAAACAATAATAAAAATTTATTTGACAACAACAAAAGAAATAGAGGAATGAAATAGTGGAGACAAAGCAATGAAATAGTGATAGCAAAGGTCATCATAATCTATGAAATGCTAATTTAGGGAGAAAGTCATTCTTGAAAAGAATTTTTAAAAAGAAGGGTTATGTTAAGAAAAGGGGATAGAGAGAATGGTAAGAGAAAAAGATTGCAGAGAGAAAAATCATACCACACACGTCTTCACTAAATGAATCTCCTCAATTTTGTGCTCTCTCTCCCCATACATGAACTTTTGCACAATTCATTATTCTTTGTACTACTTGCCATGTGGCTATTACCTTTACCCAATTCTCCCATGAGTGTGACAATACTCCACTCTTTAACAACAACTTTGTCCTCAAAGTTGAAATTTGGGTAGGATTGTTGTATTTCTTCCAAATCTTCCCACATCTTTCCATGAGTTGTTAGTTGTACTTAATGATTTCCATTGCACCAATCTTTGTTCAACCTTCTTGATCGAAGCAAGTTCCAACTTCATGCTAGATCAGTTCCAAGTCGTAGAATGAGGTAGCGAAATCTAATGATGCAAGAGGAATTGGTGCACGCCAGGTGTTTGATGGATGGTTCAGTGAGTGTATGGTGAGTGTTTGAGGTCTCTAAGCTCAGAAGGCCTTTCAACAGGGAAGGAAGCTAGAGGAGAGTTTGATGAATTGTTACAAATAGGTGATCCAAGAGTATAAAAGTCTAGAGAAATCTCAACAGCAATTCATTTATACTTCAAAGTTGGATTTTACAAAGGGGAGGTTCTTTTATTTATAGGTGAAGAAGGACCTCCATTTCTGACTTGCATTGCATCTAAAAATAAAAAATGAAGTGTGCTGGAGAAGCTATGGAGCTTGGAGCGCACGTTTCACCCAATGCCATGTTCAAAACGTGCCAATTTAAAATTCTGGTTCGCAAAGGCTGGGCATCTAGAGGTCTTGGCTGGGCATGACATTTGATTCTGAAGGCAACTTCCTTTGCACTTTGAATCTTGAAGTTATGTTGCCAATTCCGGAAAGCACTCATTTTCCTCCTTCTTTTGATTCTTTTGCTTCCTTTAGATTGCCAAGCTTCCTATATTGATTATGCATGGTCTCCAACCTTTATTTAGGTCCTACAAAATAGTACAAATGTATTTAGCAAAGAGAAGAAGGATTTTAATAAGTGATTCTCTATAGGAGTAAAGTGTTGAGTGATCCTTCTTCTTCTTGTATCTTTCTTGACATGGCTCTTGTAAGAGAGCCTATGCGAATCTTAGATGGTCTGCCATCAGTCCCTTGCTCTTGAAAAGGATCTGTCCTCAAATCTGCTTTGTCCTATTGATCATCTCCTGTGAAAGGAATTAAGTCACAGATGTTAAAAGTAGGACTGACACCATAACTTTCAGGAAGGTCTAATATGTATGCATTATCATTTATTTTCTGGATCACCTTGAAAGGACCATCACCTCTTGGACTAATTTTGGACTTTCGTTGAGAGGGAAATCTATCCTTTCTCAGATGAAGCCAAACTAAGTCACCTTTTTTAAAAATTAATTTTCTTCTCCCTTTGTTGCTGTATTCAGTATATTTTTTAGTTTGTTTTTCAATATGGGTTTTAACCTTTTCATGTAATTTCTTGATAAACTCCGCTTTAGAGACACCTTCTTTATGAAGAAAAAAAGATGATTTTGGAAGAGGTAGTAGATCAAGTGGTGTGATAGGGTTAAAACCATAAACAACCTCAAAAGGAGAAAAATTAGTAGTCTTGTGGATTACTCTATTGTAAGCAAATTCTATGTAAGGTAGATGATCATCCCAATTTTTATGATTCCCTCTTATCATTACCTTTAATAAAGTAGATAGAGATCTATTTACTACTTCGGTCTGCCCATCAGTTTGTGGGTGACACGTGGTAGAGAATAAAAGTTTAGTTCCTAGCTTGGCCCATAAGGTTTTCCAAAATGGCTAACGAACTTAACATCTCTATCAGAAATTATAATTTTGGGTAAGCCATGCAATTGTACTATTTCCTGAGAGATTCTTGGTTAGTATTGATAATAAACTCGTAAGATACCAAATAATGCGCCCAAGTCTTTAATGCTCTAATAAGGGCATATAGTTTTTTTCTCATAGGTAGGATAGTGTAAAGTTGGTCCTCAAAGTTTCTCACTAAAATAAGCAATGGGATGACCTTCTTGAATTAGAACAACTCCTATCCCTACCCTAGATGCATCACATTCTAGCTCAAAAGTTTTGGCAAAATCAGGCAAACGTAGAATGGGTGCATGTGTTAACTTATGTTTTAAGGTTTCAAAAGCTAAGACTTTTTTTTCACCCCATATGAATGACACATTTTTCTTAACAAGTTCATTGAGGGGAGTAGCTATAGTAGACAAGTTTTCCATAAATCGCCTATAGAAATCTGCTAAACCAAGGAAACTTCTTACTTCCCTTACTGTCTTTAGAGTTGGCCATTCCTGGATAGCCTTGATCTTCTTAAGATCAACATGAACACCTTCTTTCCCAACTTTGAATCCAAGGAAAATTATACTTTCTTCACAAAAAGTATATTTGTCAAAGTTGGCAAAGAGATGATGTTGTCTAAGTAGAATCAAGATTTTCTTGACATGGTAAAGGTGCACTTGAAGACCTTTGCTATAGATTAAAATATCATTAAAGTAGATCACTACGAACCGTCCTATGTATTCCTAAAGTACATGATTCATAAAGCGCATGAATGTACTAGGAGCATTGGTCAAGCCAAAAGGCATGACTAATCATTCATATAGGCCAAATTTGGTTTTGAAAGCGGTTTTCCATTCATCACCTGCTTTAATTCTGATTTGGTGATATCCGCTCTTAAGATCAATCTTGGTAAACATGTTTCCTCCATGTAATTCATCTAACATGTCATCCAACCTAGGAATTGGGTGCCTATATTTAACAGTTATTGATGACCCTGCAATCAGTACACATTCTCCAAGATCCATCTTTCTTAGGGACCAATAACACTGGCACAACACAAGGACTAAGGTTGTTTTGGATCCATCCTTTATTCAATAAGTCATTAACTTGGTTCTCTATCTCTTTTGTTTCATTGGAGTTGGACCTATAGGATGTCCTATTTAGAAGGCTTGCCCTGGGGATTAAATCAATTTGATGTTCTATTATCTTTAGAGGTGGTAAACCACATGGTACCTTTGTAGGAAATAAATCAGCAAATTCTTTCAAAATTTTTTGTAACCCCTTTGGTAGAGAATCAAGTTGATAATTTACTGAAACAAGTGCCTCTTTATAGTAGAGAATAAAATGAGGTTGTCCAAGAAAAAGATTTTTAGAAATTTTTGTGTGGACAACATATTTGGTCGAGGCACGATCTAACAAACTGATAGTCTTCTCTTTTGTCACTTTTTTAGTTTCTTTTCTTTTTTCCGCATCCAACTTCTTTTTTAAGAATTATTTGGTCCTTTCTCACTTGTAAAGGTGTAAGAGAACATAAGACAATTTTCTTTCCTTTGTGTTGGATGATTTTCCTATTGGTGACTCCATCGTGCAAGGGTCGTCCAAGTAGGATGTGCCCAACTTCCATTGGGACTGTATTACAAACAATTTGATCTTCATATTTGCGAATGGAAATGGGTACACTAACTTGTTCATTGAGTACTATCCCGCCATCCTCTTTGATCCACTAAAGTTTATAAGGGTTTGGATGAGTAGTAGTAGTTAAGCCTAGCTTATCGACAATCCTTGAGCTATAACAATTACAAGAAAAGCCATTATCCACAATCATTGAACAAGTTTTTTCTAAAACTTTACATCGTGTGTGGAATAGATTCTCTCTTTGTGGTTGTTCAAGCTCAACATGCTTTGTTTCAAGGATTCTTTTGACCATAAGTAAGTCCCCATCACAAGTGGAGTCTCATGTTCTTCATCAGAAGTAGAGGACTCATACTCATTAGAGGAAGAATCCTCACTATCTCTCTCATGCTCCAGCATGTAGGTTGACCTTTTAGTACAACACTCAGAAGAATAGTGTCCCTTTTCCCCACATTTGAAACATCTAGTCTTCTACTCTTATTGTCCTGTGAAGACTCTTTGTGGGTCTTTTCTTTTTCTTTTCCTTATTCCCTCTCTCTTTCTCTCTTCTTATTTCTCTTTCTTTTCATCTTACTCTCTCTTTCTCTTTTTCTTTTTGTCTTTCTTGAGGTTCCTTACACCTCGATTGACTACCCTCCCTCTTATAATCTTTTCTTATACATGAAGGTGGTAAGGTAAGTCTTTTTAGTGGAAGATTTCCTTCTAAGTTGTTCTTTCACTCTCACACAGTTGGATAAAGTCATTAAGATCTAGATAAGGTAAAAGTTCTACCTTATCTCTTATATCATAGTTGAGTCCACTTTGAAATCTAGCAATTGTGACTCTTTCTTCTTCTTTAATTCCAGCTCTTAACATGAGTCATTCC